ACCCCCCCCCCCCCAAAAAAAAAAAAAAAAGAAGTCAAGAGTTTCCCTAAAACTGCTGAAACTGCTGACCTGGATTATGACTAGCTGTCAGACTTGTTACTGCTTGTTACTGCACATTAGGCTAATTCACTGTTTCAAGAAAATCTTACGTAGAGGTGATTTTTACAGCAGCATCTAAAAATTGGCCACTATATTTTCTATATTTAATTTAAATAGCGTTCCCTTCCACACTAGCAGCTTGACTCCCACATCACTTTTCTGTTTTTCTTCTGTGGATGGTTTCTTTTTTTTCCACACCCAGATTGTTCATGTTTGGGACTTTTCTATCTCTTCTGTCTTTCTCCATTCTGCCAGGCTCGCATCTTGTTTTTTAACCTGTTTTCGACTGAACTTGATGCTTCTGATGCTTCTCTTTATTTTTTTCGGTGAATTAAATTCTCAGCCTTAGATTTTTCTTTAATTGCTCCCTTTACTAAGATGACTTATTTAGGTCTTTATTTTTAGAGAGGTTTCTGTGTTGCTCAGTGATGTTTAAAGTACAATGTGTTGTCTTATCCATGTAAAGCTTATTCATGAGGAAGGCAGTAAACAAGAAAATACTTACATGAACCTTTTTTTTTTCCCTGACATTTAATTAGAAGGGCATTGATTGCATCATAAGATTTTAATCTTAAGTATAAATTCCTTTGTTCTCACCTATGTTCTCTCCTGGATTCTCTGTTATCCAGGACAAATTCATGAAAACCTATAGGTAACTTCCCAATTCTTATTTCCCATTTGAAGCCATCTCTCCTGGACATTGATGGTGGTTGCCCTGGGTGCAGCTGAAAGTCTGTTTAAAAGTTTAAAATTCATAGGTTAGGAGACAATTTCAGGCATGCAAAAGTGGCTAGCAGAAATGAGATAATGGAATTGATTTTAAACCTGTGCCTAATCTAGAGGATATTGAAGAACAGAAGATGAGCAGTAAAAATGGCTTGGTACTTCAATGACAATTAAAAATGTTTTAATGTTATTGCCATGTTTGTTAGCTTTTTATATATTACTTAAAATGTATCTATTATTTCCTAGATGTGACAAAAAGTAATCTTTTAAAAATGTGTACTCTTTCCAGGAACTCGAAATGGCTGGGTCAGGTAGAGGAAGAGGCCGTGCCGCGTTTACCTTCAACATTGAGGCTATTGGCTTTGCCAAAGGGGCCTCTCTGCCTGAGGTGGCATGTAAGCCCCCACCCCTGTTCCCTGTAAGTACTGCTACTCTCTCACAGCAAACTCTCTAGAGTGTCCAGGTGGAATGTTTTCACCTTCATGTCTAGATAGTACAATGGAATATATGAACAGCCCTAAGCACTTCAAGTCGATTTTAAAGTTATTTGGTGTAGATCACTATTGGTTGCCATTGCTTTGTGGTTACCACTTCCTGACTCTTTGCTGCATGTTGCATCCTGTGTTTAGCTGGATTGCTTGCAAGAGGTTCGATTGCTAATTAAAGCCCATCTCATGAGTTTTCTTTTTCTGGATATTACAGTAATGGAAGGTCTAGATATCCGAATTTGAAGTAAAGTCATGCTACTCTCTGAAGCTGTGAAATTTAGAAATTTCCTGTCAACACACACACACACGCAAAAGAAAGATTTTAGATAAATATCTTTTACCTTAACAGAGGAAAATTGAAAATAATTTGAAAATAACTGGGACATTTTCACATAATTAGGAAATTGAGGTTTAGATTTCAAATTCTAATAGTTTGTAAAAACAAAGTGTAAAAAAAGGAAAATGATTTTCTTATTAAGCTTTATTTTGCTATGTAGGAAAACTTCAGCAATTCTAAAGTGGAAAAGAAACACCAACAGTGTTTAAATTTTATATAAGAAAACTTACCAGTTATGTCAGGGTCTGATCCAGGCGCATGATATGCAATCCACATGTTCTGATTCCAAACTTGAAGTTTAGCGTGTAATTGTTGCTATTCAGAGATTCCTCTGAATAGTTTTTGCACTCTAAGTGTTGACCTACTGAACCAGATCTTACTGGTTATTTATCTTTCTCTTGGTCTAGTATTTCCTTTACAGGCTAAATCACATGACTTTGCTGATCTAAGCAAGCTGTCTTTTATTCTTCCTAATGGGGATGTTGCTGTCTGCTGACAGCATGAATTCTCTGTAAATTACAGCTTCCACAGTTAATGTCATCAACGGAGCTGCCTCGTAAGAGATTTGCTAGCCCTACTGTATCTAATGGAGACCAGAAGGAAGTTAAAGATGACATCTTACTTTTGTGAACAGTCACATACAGAACTAAGCTAAACTTTCTAGGAGATACCTCATGCCATCCGAAAAAAAAAGAAAAAAAAAAGGAAGCAAGTAGCATGATTAGAATAGGAAACAAAAACTTAAGCACAGTTAAATTTTGGGCAGTTTGGACCAAAAGCCTAGCACTACAATTGACTTTCATAAGAATTGCTTTAAACAATGAATTGTTATTCATATAGGTTATTTTTGTGTTCTTCTAAATTTCCTGTAAATGCACTTAGAGCTCAGACTTCAGAACTGAGGAGCATCACCGTTCCCCTGTCAACTTTAACCATTTAAATTGTTAGCCAGTTAGTAAATATAGCTGAAACAATTAGCTAACCTTCATGACACAATCTTAGGGCTGTAAAGATAGAGAAGCAGTGGTTTCTGAGTAATGATTTTCTGAGCTGGCATGAGAAACTGCATTTAGGAGTTAAGAATATTGGCCCCGTGAACATAACATTAACTGAATGACTGTTTCCCTGTTTTAATGTACTTCTTTTTCTTGCTTTCTTCCTATATTTTTGCAGAAAGATATAGCTAAGTCATAAAAGCTATACATTTCATTGTAAGTATAGTGTCGTGCATGTCAGAATGCAATAAAGTATGCTTACAAAGTAGCACAGTACAGCTCTACTCTTTCATGAGTCATGTTTGTTGTAGCTTTTTTGTTGCTATTCCTGTGTGTTTTATGGATATTAATGCATTATAAATAATAAACATAATTTGTACAGAGTACAGATAATAAGCCAGTGCCCCTGAAAACAGGAGAAGATGAAGATTACATGTTGGCCTTAAAACAAGATCTTAGAGGAACTATGAAAAAAATGCCTTATTTTTTGGCAGTAGAAGAAGATCATGAAGGTCTGTTTGTGTGCTTTTTATTTGTATTTATATCTTCAGTAGTTATTATTCTATGAAGAAAGTTGTAGTGAAATGCATATGTTGAAGATGTAGTTAGTACTGATAATAAAGAATAAAAAATGGCAGCTTAAAACAAGAGGGAAATTTTGTCTTTTTATAGATGTGGAAATTATTGGTCAGCGTCTGCAATGGTTGCAACTGGAAAACAACTGCTCTGTGAGAAAAGGGGAGGAATAAACATCTATTTTATTTGAGATAAGGCAAAAAGCACTAAGAGCAACTCTGTGCAGTCTTTTCAATTGCTTGCTGACCAGATACAAATGAAGTAGATGTTTGTACATGCTGAAAATAACCTAAAATTCTGCAGGGAGCAAAGATATATTTATAGTAAATATGTAGGGTCAAAATTCAGCTGCCTCTTTAACTGTATGGTGATATACTTAAAGTTGTATTTGACAACAGGGCATTCTGAAAGGTCCTATTCTAGGACATGACTTTTTCCTATTAGGGAAAAATTGGTTAGAGTTACTGACAACATACCTGACATGTGAAGACTTTTCATACGAGGACAAGTGATTTGCTGAGGTTTGTGCCAGAAGCAGAGCTGCTTGAATTAGAAGTCATACATAGCCTGAGAATATGTCTTTTGCTTATACATACTAGAATTAAACAATAACATCTCTGTTACTGTTCAGTAATGCCAAATATTGTGCTGTACTTAACATCAAGTTACATATCACTGATACTGTTAAAATCCAAGCTTCTTAGTCAGAAAGCTGAACTGGATCTCACTTGTATAAATGGTAAGTCTTGTTATGGGAAAGTAGGAAATAAAAGAAAGCAATAAATGCTGTATACATTAGGCTGAAGATGCAGCCAGTACAGTAGACTGTCTTCCACAAGCCTTATAAAAATGTTTAAGAAGTCCAGAGTGGCCAAACACCACATAATGCTTTGCTTCCTGTCATGTACTGATTTTTGAATAATGAGAGCTGATTTGAGCTTTTAACATGAGATATAATATACCTCCTGAAACAACTGGAATATTTCCTCACTCTGAATTTTCATGGGACAGGTATGACGTAGATATACAGAGTCCAGGCCCTTTTGAAATGTTGATAGCTGTTGGTCGTAGTGTCTCCCCATTATACTGGATTCCACATTTTATATATATATATATATGTATATGCATATATATGTATGTGTGTGTACATTTTTCCTTTTGCTTTTTTTGACTGTATGTATACTTAAATAGAGGAATATATACTGTGCTATAAAGTGTGTGTGTATAGATGCATACACCCATACTTTGATTGGCACACCTCATTGATTGTCCACTGAGGTTTGTATTAAAGCACAGTTTAAAATGGAGCAGGATATTGTAATGTCTTGAGGTCTTGAAATGGTTTCAGAAGCCCAGGCTTCTCGCAGCATTAAGATACTGCAGATCACCTGCTGCAGGCCACCCATTTCTGGGAAAGGAAAGAGCTCCTGCCCCAGTCCCTGTAGGACTTGGTTCCTGCAGAGCCGAGTGTTTCTCGCCCTGCAGCGGCTGCAGGACGCGGCCTGCAGCACCCGCGTGTAGGCCGGGCGCCGGGGCTGCGCGTTCCTCGCACCCCGAGCAGGGAAGGGTTGTGGTGCTCCCAGGTGCAGCGGCCGCCTTCCTCCCTAGCTGCTGCTGAACGGGAGGTAACCAGCTGAACCCTTGGCTCTGAGACAGGGCAAAACAGGAAATCTGATCGACGCTTTTTAGATCCTTTCATGACTGCAGAAGAATTCAAAATTTCTCTCCCATAACATCTCTTTTATCTTCTAAGTAAACAAATTTCAGTCTCTTTGGTCTCTCTTCTCAGCAGAGGTGTTTTTTTTTTTTTTTTTTCCTCTGGCCTTGATCTTTCTCAGGCTTGAAGTCTGCTGTTCCCATTTGAGAAACGAAAAAGCACTGCTGTGCCTGAAAGCCTGTCAGGTTTATTTCCAAAGAACCCACCACTTCACAGGAACACATTCTCTCTCTCTCTCTCTCTCTCTCTCTCTTTCTCGCAACTTTTCTTCCTGTGATCCTTCTCACTACTCTCCTTGAGTGGTCTTGGTTTCTGCAACCCTCTTCCTGGGATAGAGTGATCTCTCCGTGTTTCTCAGGGTGCTTATTAATAGAACTGCCAGCCTTGAAGATTGTTTTTCTTCAAAAACTGGCAATAGGAAAACAGATAGATAGCCACTTCAGATAAATAATGCTACAAATGTTCTCATCGTCTCAGCAAGAGTAGGTTGGTAAGGTAAGTTACTAAGCTGAAACATTAGTTGTACAGAAATACTTCATCTGAAGTGCTGTGGGATGCTTACACTGCCAGCTGTCTGCAGCACGGATGCTATCATAAAACAGTTTGCTTTTATCTCGCAGGACACAGTTATCTCTGGGCCTGGTTGCCTGGCAGAAGTGGCTTGTCTTTAAGAAAAGCCACTTTCTTTCCCCAAGGTAGAATTATTTTAACTGATTGTTTCAGTTCCCTGGATTTCCAGCCCTTTCCTTCCCAGCGTTTCATCAAAACATCTGACAGGAATAAGAAAGCAGCAAGAGGACGATGGTGGGAAGGAATTTCTTAGATTGGCTTTGCCACAAGAGGAAATGCATTGTTTTAAATCCTCAGCACGATGCCTGTGAGCCAAATGGTCCGTTTGAAGCGTGAGAAGGGAAATGTTTTAATTAGGACATAGCAATCTTTCTTTCTGTCAGTAGTTAGGCAGTAAATTAATGCCATGTCTAACATGACCTGGGAATTTGGATGTATTGGTCTGTCGTTTAGAATAGATTTTCATCACTCACCTGAACACCCATTTTGACAGAGTAGTAGGTAGTAGTAAATTCTCTGTTTTTTTCACTTCATAAACCATGCATGGTTCATATTTTTCTTGCAGGTGTATCTGCTGTGATTTGGTGGCTGTCCCTTTAGCAATGGGGGATTAATTCGTCAACCGTGGTTGGCAAGAGTCAGATATATCTTTTTACTGATGGTATCAGCAATTAATTATTTATTGAAAGGCCTTAAGCAGAAATCAAAACTACTACTTCCTTCTCTGTTGCTGACAGTTTCCTTCAGCGTTTACAAAAAGCCACCTATGTTAAATGCCCCTTGAGATGCCATCATTTTAAACACAAACCTTTGACTCCACATTTTCAAGTAGGCCTTTTGCTTACCCTGGTCAGAACTAAGTTTAAAATTGACCTTAATTTTTGCATGTCTTCCTTTTTGCTTACACTTTTCTGATATGTATGACAGACTGCTTAGTTCATAAAGGCCCCAGTCTTTGTTTTCATTTGTAGAACACTCACAGAAATTTTCCCTGTTTGGGGCAATGAGCTTTTACTGCAGTCATAATCAGTATTTTTTTTATTAAGTTGATTTTGCTGTTGGGAAAAATGCGGTAGGAAATTTGGTAAGAAAAAATACTGAAAAATGCTTATGTGTCAGTGTGCAAATTGCCCCTTTTAAGGAACTGAGCTCAATAAGTCTTTGTGTCTTCCTCTGTAGTAATAGAAAGATACAGTAAAAAGTACCTGGAGATTGAAAAGCAGCGTGCAGCATGGACCCAAGGTAATATCTCAGATTATCAAAGGTCAGTCGTTTGTTAGCCTGTGCAATCTTCTGTTCTTCTTAAATGTTGAGTTCATTATTTTTAAAGTAATAAAACAAGGAAGTCCTTACAAGTCATGTATCCTGCCTTGAGGGCTATGCCTTTGTCATTCTTCTTCCAGCTCAAATCAAAGTGTTTTATTATTCTCCCCCGCCCCGCCTTTTTTTTTTTTTTTTATGTATTGAAATGCAGCAGCTTATCTTGGAGCAAACACGCAATTTTTTCTCCCTCTTCCTAATTTCCCTTCTAAATATTGGTTTTGAACTGTTAGCAAACATGGATGTTGCTTAAAAAAAGAACCAAACAAAAAATGTGTCTTCTCAGTGACCAGTAGTTGGGTTTTATAATGTTGAACTTTCACAACTGGGTCTGCACAGCTCACTAGTGCAAAATTAATTGTGATATGTAAGTTAAATGGCATGCGGGCAACTGGCATGGCTGAACTTTAACTATCTCTTTGGTACAGGTGCCAGTCTTCATTAACTGCATGTTAATTTAGATCCTTGCCCTGGTCTTCTTAATTTAAAGTACAACCAGAGTTTGGTGGAACTACTGTACAATAAAACAGTTAAATATGCATGTATACAGGATCAAGCACAACAGGGAACCCACCAGTTCAGGAGGGAGTGTGGAGGGATTATAACTGTTCTGTAGATTATCAGTCGTATATATAGAATGTGTTTTTTATGCAGATTGGCGAAGACTCCCAAGAGAGATGAAGCCAAGCAAAAAGACCAAGAAAGGTAATTATTTATTCTCAAAGAGCATTTAGTCCACACTACTTGAATGTGAGCAGAAATGCTGGAGCTGATTAGGAAAAAAAATAGTACAAAAATATCATTACAAATTACAAGGCCTAGTAATCAGGAATTTTGGCGGATGTTTATTAAATACCTTACTAGTCTGTTTGGCTTTCGTGGTTTTTGTTTTGTTTTCATAGGATGTTTTAAGTTACTGGAACAGATTTATCTTTCTTTTGCTCTCTTTCATACTGACATATTAACATAGTAGGTGTCAATATTTAACAGTAAAAGGTTTAAGTAGCACTAAACTTTTTTTTTTTTTTAAGTTTGTACCTTAAGACAGCATTCCCTTTTTCTGCTTAATGAATAGCTAGTTGTTCCAATTTCCTTTATATTTTGGGTTTCTCAGTCCTCTGATTTATGATTTGTTTGACTTTTGTATTTTTTAAGCCTTTTACATGTGATTAATAGGTTATTTTCTATTTTCCCTGGTTTTACTTTTTTTGTTTATTTTCAGCTTTCTTCTGCAGAATTGTGAACCAGATCCTTCAACAGCAGTTGGAGCTGGTATTGGTTGTTCCTAAAGGAAAAAAAAAGACTTTTTTTTTTATTATGCAACGTCATAAGTGTGTTTATTTTTTCAATGTGTTTTCTAGTATGCATGACTGTTATTTTTTCTGTAGAAGTTTGTTGTTCTGTTGATGTGAAACAACACTTGGACCCCTCTACTTAGCTGCCTGTTATATATAACTGTTCACATTCTTGTTCTTTTTGTCCAAGTCTTTTATAAGTCATTTTTCAATTCAAGGATAAAATAGAAAAGGAAAAGTGAATGTGCAGTAGTCATGGAGACTGGCTCAGCTGGAAGCTTTGTTCCTTTTAAGAGCCTCATTGAGAAGCATGGTACTAAAGGTAGACTGCAAGATTCAACTGAAAATACTTATTTGCAAGCACCCTAAAAAAGAAATGAGTACACACAATTTTTTTAAAAAAGAAGAAATAGCACTGACTTTCACAAATCTGGGGGCAATAACTACCTCCCTTTGATGCTATGTGAACAGAAATGCTGATTTATTATTCCTTTCTTATAGTAATGTTGTGATTAACATAAAGAATTAGAAAATCACTGCTCACTGCATTTTCTTCACTTTCTTTTATGCCAGTTCCTCTGTTTGCTTTCAAAAGTGGATTTTTCTTACTCAGTCGTAATGGCAAAGATCAGCTAGCCACCCAGATTTGATCGGACAAAAAGATACGGTCCTCTGAAAGCAAAAGTAATGTGGTTTTGTTTTTTGGGGAGAATTCTGGAGATATGGAGGCTGGCCTAAAGTCACGCTACTCAGATTTGTAAACAGTGGAGCAATGACAAGTTTAAATCCTGCCACGTATCAGTGGTGGAGTTTGTAGACAGACCATTTTAGATGACACTATTGTCAGTGGAACAGAGGTGTGGGAGCGAAGTGAATTTTCTCTCTTCTGCAGTCAGAAAAAAAACCTATTATTTTAGCTTCATAGATTGCAGAAATGATTTCTGGATAGCTGTGTAGTTAAATTTACAGGGCTGGCTTTACCTTTACCCCGGTTCTGATTTCCTTGGATACTTTAACCTAACACCTAACCACCTGCCTCCTACTGACCTAACTGTGGGTGGAATCCCACATCCCTCCCACACGGAGACATGAGCTGTAGTAGCCAAGATGGCAGCTGTGGCCAGCTCTTGTGGGCCAGCGCAGACTCAGAGAATGGTTGAGGTTGGAAGGGACTTTAGAGATCATCTAGCCCAACCCCCCTGCTACTCTCTGTGTATAAGTGGATTTAAGACAGAGAAATTTAGGAAGAGGTGTTTGGAAAGAGCAGTCCGTTTTATTTAAGAGTAAAATGGCTGTGAATGGCTATTTTGCTTCAAGCTCACTGTCCAGTGATGAGTCTTTGTCTCTAACTCTCATGGTAATCAAGCCCTACAGACACCCACCACTAAAGAAATGATTTTGATGTCTGCTCTGATTTCTGGCCTGTTTCTTCTAATAGCACTATCTGTAAGAGCCTGCAGGTGTTGTACAAAAATGCTTGTTTTGAATCACACTTTCTACTTATTCCCCTTGCATTGCATACTTGAACAGTATACTGATCATTTTATTTTGGACCTGTTTGCTCTGGCAGTGCTCACAGGGACTTCTCTCAGCTGTATACAGTGCTTTTGTCACCAGGACCCTTGCTAGGCAAACCATTGAAATAAACTGAGTATTATTCATAACAAAAGCTTTTGACAAAATACAGTAATCTTCTTAGCAGCTGTAGTGTTCTTCCTTAGATGCTCAGCCAGATGAAATCCATACTGCACTGGGTCACTCTGTACTCTGGAAGTGATACTCCCTCTATCAGTGCATAATAATTTTAATTTTGATATCACTAGTGCTGTCTAGCATGAATAAAAAGTCACAAGCTACATAAGCTAATTTGTCTGAAGCTGACTTGTCTATCAGAACACACCAGCACGGAGCTTTACATAGGCTGCTTTACCATGCTGAGAAGAGCTAATCTGTAGTAGGTTTGGTAAATTGTCCCACATTGTACCCCACATTGTAAATTTTGTGCTGCTGTGTTGAGCTTACCAGTAGGGCCAAAAGGCAGTTACAGCCTGGAAAGAGGCTGTCCAAGAGAGCTCTTCAAATGTGCTCTGGTTTGCCAAGTCTACTTGTCAAACTGCCCTACCTGCAGCCAGGGCTGGTATTCCTTACAGTGCTGCAACCCAAGTAGCTTTTATCTGGGTAAATAAAATCCTGGTTTTGACCTTCACCCCACTACACAACTAAGGAAGATAACGAGGATGAATTGTGGGGAGTAACTAGAGAGAAGGTTATATTCATGAATTGAGTGACTAGGTGAAAACGAGCACTCCAGATTCCCTAGACAATAGCCAGGGTTGGTCCAAAAGCCATGTAATGTGGCAATAACCACACTATGGTGTTGCTATGAATAAACTGCTGCCTGCCTGTTCTTAGCCATCTCTCTGAAGTCGTGAATGTGTTGTATAGACTCAGAAGCTGAGTCCTTAAAACAGGAAGGCATTTTTGTCTTTTTGAAATAAGGAAAAATATTGTTTTTTTTTTTTTTTTCTATTGATGTACTTTGAATCTGTAGGTGAAAACCACTTTGTGAAGCTGAATATTATAGTTTGGACAAACCTTTGATTGAATACTTGTTTAAAGAAGTTTGAAACCGGTTGTGTAGGCATCACATATAAATCAGGCTATTGCAGGTCTACAAGATAGACCTGTTACATTTTGAAAATGGTAACTGCAATGATAATCCAACAGAGTATATATTACAGTTACATTAGACTTTGAACTAACATTCTAACAGCAAGTAAAAGTGTTAAGTGGTTTTTCGTATTCAAAAAATAATAGCAATGCATTTTATTTCAGCAGGTACAAAACTAAAAAAGGCAAAAAGCTCTGCACCCTCTGACCCTAAAAGTAATCTGGATATGTTGCAAAAAATAGAGGTAAGACATGCATAATCTTACTAATTTGTACAATAGAAATTGCTGGAAAAGGAAGTATTTGCCATGTTCCCATGTTCCATCACTAAGTGGAATAACCCCAACATTCTTTCTCTAACGTCTTTCTACTACACTGACAGAGAACTGTTCTGCAATAGGGTATCACAAAGCATAGAATGAGCAAAGAGCTTGGTTGTGAAGAAACTGTTTTCTTTGCTTCTGAACATCAGTTGAATTATGAACAATAGAGCTTCCATTAGAACTTGCTGAAGGAGAAATTGATGCCAAAGCTTTTAAATCTATTGCTGTTTTTTCAATATACTTATGCTGGAAACTAACCCATGTAACAACTTGAGAAATAGAAAAATACAGGAGGAGAAATTTAGGAGGAATGTGGCTTTGGAGGTGAGTACCCAGTGTGTGGGAATGGGAGCTGAAAAGTGCAAAAGCTTTGTATTTTTAGCTTTGTTATCATTAGTTCGTTCCTTACATTATAGTGCGTGGTAATAATTATTGTTAATATTAAATTTTAGCTAATATCTGCATACCATCATTATGCTTAACATCTTGTTAACTCATTATAACATTCTGGTAGCACAGAGGGATGTGTTGCTGATGGGGTATCTTGCAAACAAGATTGCTTTGTGACAGGAGTTAGAAAAGAAGGATGAGGAAGAAGAAAAATCTGAAGATGAGAAAGATAAAGCCAAAGATAAAGAAGGTGAAGATGATGAAGAAGCAGAAGAACCAGAAGAATATGATGAAGAGGAGCATGAAGAGGTATGCATCCATTTTCCTATGGGTACTAAGCCAGCTCCTAGTAATTGCTTAAGTCTGTTTGCAGAGAGGCAAGCAGTACCTCTAACTTCTCTCAGGTGCACAGGAACTGCAGTGAGAGGATTTTGATTGACTTGATTTTTTTTTTTGTTATGGTACATGTAGCTAAGTAGTTGTTCTAGATGTGTTACTTGCAAAGAGCTTGGCAATAACATCTGGCAAAAAAGTAAGATTTTTCTGCCACAATCAGTACATGCATTCACTGATTTCAGTCATTACAACAGGGGAATAACCTTGCATCAAATGCTGCTGCTCCCCCTTTGTACACACTAGAACATAGTTTTTTTTTTTTTTAATTTTTCCAAAAAATAAGGGAAGAAATGTTCACATTAATATTTCAAAATTCTACTCAACTGCAATGTACTTTCTTCATAAATTCTCTACCACATGCAACTATTTTTATCTGCAATATTTTCATTTAGGAAAACGACTACATTTCTTCATACTTCGAGGATGGAGATGATTTTGGTGCTGGCAGTGATGACAATATGGATGAAGCAACATATTAGCTAGAGTTGCTTAGGGAGTACAATATTCAAGCCTTACACTACTTCCCATAAATCTTGAGGTAGGCTGGGTATTATTGATGGAGCTAATGCTTTAGCTCTGGTTTTAATTTTAAACAATATACTGAACATTTTTTTATTTTACTGTTGCTATAAAATAGAACACTAGATCCCATGTTATGTTTTTTCCTGCCATATTTGGCAGACATGAGCCATTTTAAAGTTCTCTGGAATATCCAGCAATGGAATAAGCTATATACCATTGTATTGCCTCTGCACAGGAAAAAGAATGTATGCATTTTAATTGAACTGTGCCTAAGCATTTGCACTAGTTAGTTCTATGCTTTAGAAATCAAATCTTGAAAACAGTGAAATACTTGTTGACTGGAACAAAACAAAGATAGGGCCTTTATAGGCAAAGTGCTCATATTTAGGAGATGCCTTCTCTGAAGTAATTTATATGACTTCTGAATTCAGGTCATTGAAAATGGCTAACCACTAAGCACTTTATTAAACTGACTTGAAAGTACCTTAATAATATTGCTTAAGAAGGAAACAAGAGTATTTAAGAGCTGTTATTTTATCAAACAGAATTATTTTTAGCATTTTGGTCAATATTTAAGAGTTTTAATACCTTTATGAATGCACTCTGTAAGTGATTAAGAGCAATTTCATTAAAAATGTGGTTCATTAGAAAAGTAAAAAGGAATCCTAGTTTTGACTAGCACTGTTAAAAGAGACACCTCAATTTCTCCACCTGTTAAGGAGAATATTAAATTCCTACCTCACAGATCTGTTAAGTGAAATGGTAGATGCTAGCTATCCAAGCGTCAATGCATTTATTTTCTTTCCTATGAAAGAACAGATGAGCAAATCAGTGAGAGGAGGATGAAAGCGCAGGAAAAGATGGTCAAGTATTTTGACACATGAAGTCTTAATTAGGGAACAAGTCAAGAATGCTGAGAATAGCAAAACTAAATTTCTCTAAGCTATTATATTTAAGAACACAGAAAATTTCCTCTGAAAGTAGAGACTCGAGACAGGTACCATTCCCTATATCCCTTTTCCCTCAATAACTCAATGACACAAATTGCTTTTTTTAATTTTTATTTTTTAATTTTTCCCTACCTGGGTAGATTTACTTGTTCATAGCAACAGAATGTTCCCAGATGAGGGAACGATTTTAAAACAAAACCAATTATATCAGCAAAGGAAAATGCAGAAGTTTTAGCCTGATGTTTGCTCGTCTGTCAAACAACACTTTACCTCAGTGCTGAATGGTGACTAGTACTGCATTATTCTATCAACTTCTATCTGAAATAAGCATTTGGTAAACTCCTTTAAGGTATAGCTTTCAAGTGCTCAAACTGAAAAAAATCTTAACTGTCCAAAGGGAAAACTAAAATGCAATGCAGGTCACATCTCACAAGTATACTATTTTCATTTAAGTGTTCATGAGCTATACAAATAAATGTTTAATAAACATCCTGCTGTATTGCAATATGAAGTGTATTGTGTTCATATTCTTTTAACATAGATGTCTGCAGTTGTTCAATTTATGTGCCTACGTTTTGCTTGAGATACACCAGAGAAAGCTGTTGTAAACAAGGTGAGCACACTGAAAGCTTACTGTTTGCCTTAAGTGCAACCCACAGTAGCCTCTAGCTGTTTGCTCCCTACTAGAAAAGGTTAAGGCTGAAACAGTTCCTGCCTCTCAAACAGGGAATGCAAATAGAGGGGGGCTTTTCCTGAAGAAAAATACACAGCAGCAAGTCAATACAGTGCCAGTTATAATGTGGTCACAAGCTATGGCAAGCCTGACTAGGCACAAGGCTGTTTTGTAGCTGACACTAATTCCATTGGACAGCTTTCTTCAGTCATGACAGAGTTAACAGCAAAGAATTTCCTCCTACAGTTCATTTCCTCCTTGCTTTGAGAAATATTACTTGGACAAATACCATGTTTTCAAGTTCTTTACAAAGTGATCTATGATCACTCTTCAAAAGGAAAAAGCAAAATTTCTGTCCAGCCCATTCAAGACTAGCCTAATAGCAAATAAAGCCAAATACTAAGAATAAGCCCAGCTCTGCAATAAAACAGCCCTATATGCCAAGTCACTCTGAAAAGAAATCAGACTGTGGTGTTCAGGAGATATAACACTCATAGCAGTCTCTATAATCTAACATCCCCAGGTGGTTAGAGCTTGTAAGCCAAAGTAGTTATAAAAGTAGATTGTCCAAAGGATCTCAAGCAAACTCAACTCCCATCTTATAGCAGGGAAGAGAAAAACCATCTGCTACTGGCTGGAAAATGCAACTGATTCCAGTGTGTAGGGAGACCCCCGAGTAGTTCACTAGTGCCTACCCTTTCATACCTGTTTTAATACTCATTTCACAAATCAAGTTCTCAGAAATTTCAGCAAGAATTTCTGGGTTATGTAAGAAATGCAAGGGATAAACTGCTAAACCTGCTGTTACTAGCTGTGAAAGCTTTATGCATCTTCTGCCAACAAAATGCTTCTTGTTGGCCAAGAAGTTTTTACTTCATAATATCAAAACTAGCCAACACAAACACAAGTATGCGACCTCCTACAATAGAAGCTAGGAATCCATTATATGCACCACTTCACTGTAGCCTAAAATAAAATCTTTTATATTACTTAATGTTCTTCTAAAGGCAGGAATATTTAAAATAAGACTTGCACCCTCAATTCAGGATTGTTCTAAAAAGTTGCATTTTGACACTTCATAAAATAGTTATACAAAGACTATTTTGACAACATACTTCAAAATATAGGTTTAAACATTTGAGCCAACAGTGCAATACGCACTTAAATTTAAAGCCAACTTCTGTCCAACAATTTGTCCAAAAATTCTTTTTCAGTTTCTAAAAGACTTTGGAACTAACTTACTAAATCTATTTCCATATAGAGCAGTTACCCCATTTATTCAAAGCTGACAGATGGTGATGCATTACCAGCAGTGTAGTCTGGGAAGGGGCAGTAGAACTCCGTGCATCTTCCATAGAAGAAATCCAGCCCATGCTTGAGCTAACTATTACCAGAAATCCCATAATTTTGAAAAGAGACTTGCTGTGTTTTCTGATAAAATTAACTTTCTGCTTTTAAAAATAGGCTATGTAAAATATGCTATATACTAAAAATGTGCTAGACTCTTGATCAGAATATAGCATTAAACAGAACAGCTTTCCCTGTTTTTCTACTGGCCATTTGCCATAAAGTATGGCAAAATCCACCATGCTTTTAGCAGCTCATTGACAATAAGCCACAGGCCTTCTCCTAGTACCCCCCCAAAAACTCCCAAACCTGAGATACACTAAAGAACCACTCAGTTGCAAAACCACAGCACAAAATGCAGCTATTGACAAAGGTTCTCTTTACTTGCACATTAACAGCAACAGCTGATGGAATCAAACCAAAACTGAAGCTCATTTCCAAATTGGTGGCAATGCAATACTTGCACTGAGGCATAGGGAGTAAATTTGCTAGCTTGTATATGAAACATAAGCCTAAATTCATGTTGCTTAGTCTTATAGGAAAGGAGGAGATAAAGTAATAAAATCTTTGAGATTTCAGAAACAGACTGAAAAAATAACAGAAAAAACAACGAATAAGTTTGCAGCACAGAAAGTTACACATTATGTCTGCAGTTCCAGCCCTACATAGAGAACATTTGTCTTACTGTGCTAAGGATCCTTTTGGGCTACAGCAAGTCACAAGTTTCTAAAGTTCACTTCTAAAGTTTTAAGCATAGAAGCTGTATCACAAAAGCCACCATAAGTTTTGCCATGTTCTCATAAAGCCTTGAGAAAAACTGGTACTTCAACACTCATGCTTGTATTATTAGAATATTATTTTCATGGGAAAAGTATTACTTTTTTCTTGAGAAAACCAGTGTGAAACAAAGTTCATGCCCATCCAGGAATTCTCTTCTAGTGCAGAAACTAGGAGCAGTTACTGCTGTCTCTAGCAATAGCACTTTGACCACAGGGTTCAACAGTAACAAAGAGTTCATAGGTCCATCTGTGCATAATTTCCCTTCAAGGTTTAGATCTACTTCAATTTCATTAAATTACATTAAAAATTACCAGATTCATGTTCATACACTTGTTCATCATTAACAGAAGGACAACAGGGGCAAGGGTCTTCACTTTCACAAATTTAAGTTGATAAAGCACTTCTGAATACCTCCAGTAAAGAAATTCATAATTTTATATTGCATACTTTTCCAAGACACTTGAAGGAGAGCATAGAGTAAAGAAATGAGTGATATTCTTCCTCCCCCCTTTAATTAACTTGGGCTTTGATAATGAACAGTATTTTGAAGAGGACAATGGAAATTTTATTTCAAAGGCAAACAGAAGATTATAGGTATTGTTGTTACTTTTCTATAGGAAAAGTCCAATAGCATTTCCAGAAATGGAAAGATTGATGGGCAGATACTAAACAACAGTTTGAAGCTGCAACTGCTACATGCTGCTGCAATTTACATAAGTTTTCAAAGTTTTGAGCTAGGCTTCAGGAAAAGTGTTCAGGAGTGCATGACAACAGGCATTTTCAGAAACTCCAGATAACAGCTCTCCTAAACAAAACAGTTGCTTCTAAACTGAGATTATCTGGAGGGGAATAAAATTCCATTAGCATTAAAAAAATGAAGCAGAATAAGATGCTATGCATCTTATTTCATTTTAAGCAGACAGAAGAGGATGCCAGTCAGGTCAGTTTTCAGTAGCTGGATACCATGGTCAAAAACTGTCTTAACTGGACTGAGGCACAGTATCACATACAGAGTTATCAAACTGGTTTATCTGTACTAAAAAGCATTAAAGAGCAAGCAGACCACAGGTAAAAAAAGAAAAACTCCAGCTTAAGTATTAGCTCCTGCCTCTATAAAAAACACTTTTAACAGAGGACTTTATAGTGGCAGCTAATTATGGAATGGTTTCATGCTGTTTCTTGTAAAATTAAAATGAGAATGCAGTTTTAGCAGATAACTGTAAACTTGATTTTAAAATGTCAAGTGTACTATGCACCATATAAATATTTCAACATATTTAAAAGTTAGACATCCCCAGATACCCATTTTAGGGTTGTAAAAGGTACAGCGAGAGTTCTTTTTTGTTAGTTCAAAATAAACTATCTCACATTGTCATTAGAAAACCTAAGCTTATCAAAATAGGAAAAAGTGCAGATTTAGAGACCATTTTATACCAATTTGTATTCCAATCTCGCATTAAGATCCCCTAACCTCAGACATATTCAGAGATTACATGAGCCATACAAACATCCATATAATGGAACACTGCCCATAAATACAAACCATACATTATTAAAATGCTTCTTCTGCATTTCAGATGCACTTTGCATTCTGTAGTTTCCTCCTCGTATAATGTAAAGTTATATATCTGTGTATAACACTTGCATGGGGCTTTCGGTCAATAATGCTGAAGCTCCTGTGGATTGTCATTTATGTCCTCGATTAACATTTATAATATTTTCTGAATTTATTCCATTTTCTATTTGTTTCTGATGCGATGGTGCTGTGACACCTGAATGGGAAGATTCCATTGTAGAATGGTGACTGACATCTGCTTTCACTAAAACTTCGTAATACAGAAGATAAAAAACTGGAGTTACTATGCCAATAACCAACATAATCACTACAGCTGTCCACCATCCTATACCCCAGTCTGCTCCGTAGTAAGGATCCCTGCTTTTTTTAGTTTTGCCATCAGTTTCAAAACAGACCTGCTGGGATGCTAAGGCAGAAACAACTTCATCAAGATTCTCTCTCTTTGTATCATTACACTTCACTATTTGTTCTATATCACGATCCACTTCTTTTAAGAAGTTGCCAGCAGTCTCATTAGCAGAGAATTTATCAGAAGGTGACATGCCCTGTGCCTCTGAGGAACAGTGAGCAGCCCGTAGAGCAGGCCTTCCTTTTGGAGACACATGCGTTTCAGTCAATACACTGAACTTCTTCACTGGAATTTTGATAGACCTCAACGCAAAAAAATCTTGATCGTTGATAAGATTGTTAACCCTCTTGATGTCTGCAACCTGAAAAGCAAAAAAAAAAAGATTAAGTATCAAAGCTGAAATGAAAATTTTACAAGCCCTAACTCTTTAAGAAATAGAATTCTTCCCTGAGAACCTTTTTATGCTATTGAAAAATATGAAGTGAGAAGACAGCAGACATTGAATTTGAACCAAAAACTAAGACCAAGAACTTGCTAAACCAAGAACTTGCAATCACAAGGTTACAAACTTTCTCATTTCAGATAAAGATTCTGAAAAATCATTAAACATCAATAGCCACTGAATGTGTACTCATCTTTTCATGGCAAATATCTCTGAAACCAACATTGCTCCAGTGTCTTGCAAATGGAATAGATTTCTGACTTAATTTTCTGATAGTTTGCTGATTTAATTACTGAATAGTTTCTGATTTAAATTTAAAACTTCTAATTAAGGAACAATAGAAATTAAGACCTAATTCATCCAGCCATGCTTTTCATTTGATTTTTTTCCAGCTTTTGGAGATTTTGGGGCAGCAATATAGAACACAGACAAAAATTAAAATCTTTAAGTCATCTTCTCAAGTCAGCTCTCCCCTTCTCCCTCATTCTTAAAGGATTCAATATGAATCTCATTGTGTTCTTGAAAGGTTCAAGAGTCAAAAGTCTCACACTAAATATTCTGCAAGTATTTAATTGCCCTGAGAGAACTAGCTACTTAATCACCAGACACTACGCCCTCCTATTCCCCAAGGATTCACAGCCACAAAACCTCAACATAATTACGCAAGGAAAACCTTTCCTTTCAATACCTAGCAGAAACAAAGATAATCCTATCCTTCTCTTAAGCAACAACTGCCAAGTTATACAGTATCCAGAAAACCTAACACCAGAGTTCAAACCACTCCTCTATTTAGAAGGCATCTATTTCAGGAAAAAGTATGAACAGACATATTACAAGACAGTTAAGCTCAAGGTCTGGAGACCCTTGTTGCTGTAACTGCTCCAGTTTGAACAGATTTAGCCAGAAACAGTTAGCAAGTTGGTATGACCAACACTAGCGTACACTGCACTCATATTGTGTCTTGTTCAGTCCCCAAGACTGCATATTTAAGTGCTTTAAACTAGAAGATTCACATAAAAGATGACAAACAGCAGCATTTACTCAAGGGTTAGTAGCTATCACCACATGAGTTATGCTTCCTGTCCAAACAGCCAGATCTTTCACAGTCCCCTTAAATCCTTAAGAGCTAGGCCATTCATCTCTCCATTTCTTACTCAAGATCTGGTTAGAGTAAGTTTCCTCAAAATAGAGGTGGATGCCAAGGCAAAGAATTTCCTAATTAGGCTCAGATGTGTCATGATTACTTAGCAAAACAATATCAAGACTTTAGTAGTTAAGTTCATGGCACTCTGCCCCTAGGGTTGTTCCCACCTGACCATTAGACCATAGCAAAGTTTTAGAAAACGTGGATTCTTAATTTGACCAAGCTCGACCTCTTGAAAGCTACATTAGTAGCAGACACTCCACACTACACACACAGCTGATTTCCTCTGCTTAGTAGGATACACGCAAATCTAACATTAAGTAAGAGGAAAGCCTCTGCCTTAACTAGTACCAGCCAGACAAAAAAAATAGGAAGGAAGGAGATTCACAAGATCAGTTTAAGAACTCTAAGCAAGAATTAAGGTAGAACAAACATCTGAACAAGACCTGAAGGGAACATTTCTGGGCATGTAGCTCCCAGCAGCTGAGCATACACAGGGTAATAAGCATTTTGAGTAATCTTGCCGAGTTTAAAAGAAACCAGCAGCAAATTGTGCCCCTAAATGGAATTAAGGTTCTACCCAGAGGCTCCTAAGGTGGTTCAGCAACAGCTTCCTCATTGCAAACTGCAATAGGCAACACCAGACTAGCAAAGGTGCCCATTTGTGGCTACACACTATGAGGACTCTTAATCACAGCATGTTCAAGTGGGGCATCAGGACCACATAAGAAAAAAATTACTTTTTGCCTGAAAAATTACATTCTAAAACTAGAATTTTTGGACACACTCTGCATTTTATCCTATTAGATATTTTGGAAGTTCAGCCACATTAAACACTAGTTTTTAAATCTCTGAAAGCTCCAACATCTCAGCTACCAGTCTACATGCTCAGCTGAAAGCAACTGAATCCAGCTCAGCAGGACAGGGGCCGAGTGCACACACGCAGCCTCCAGGCGCACCCAACCCCAGAGCAAGAGGACCGATAAGAACACAGAGCCGTCGGCCACGCTGCAAGGCAAAACAGAAAGCAGCTCCCTGGGCACTCACTGAGCAACAGTACTGCAGCGCAATGGCATTCAGAGTGTCCCCTTCCTGGATGTCCTTGGTGAGCAGGACGATTTCGGCCAGCCGTTCCCGGGACGTGCTCCTGCGCACCTTCTCCCTGCCC